TAAGCCAATCTGGAATGTGCATGCCCCTATTTTGAATAATCATTCCGCTTTCTTTTTAGTAGGGGCATCCTGCGTTCGTGTCATGCTCCATCCAGCAGTGCGAAAGCTCCGTAGCAAAGCCATTCGCTGGATGGCAAAGCAATGCAACACATGAAAGTCTTGATCTTATGTCATCAGTTTTTTTGCTAGGCGAGACGTACCCAGGCGCATTGAAAGTCTTCACCCTCTTTGATCTGTGAATTATAAAATGCCTGCACATCCTCTTTTAGTCAGTTATTTTCATAAAGCGTGTGTCTGTGTGCAAGGCGGTTCGAAAGATCAAACTGAGGATGAATTCCAGGTTGCTTTATTCAGACAGAGCCCCTTGGTCTCTCTTGGACTGGGAGTAATTTGTTGGCTTGCGCTCAACCAGAGGGTGCTGGTTCGCAGCGTCTCCCACCCGCAGTGAATCATCCCTCCTCCAGAGGAGAGATAATTAATTTGTCTGAGCTGCTCTTAACCCAGGCTGCATGTCAGCCGCAGAAAAGCACACAACGCCGGTATTCTAACACGCAGGTCCAAAAATATACAACAAGTGAATGGAAGAGCTAATGCATCAATGTATCCCCAAATCCATTTCTAGACAGTTTACACATATTGATGCATGAATCCAGATACAGAAGCAGAAAAAGGAACCAATAACAAAACAAAAAAAAAAGTTATTGAATGGTAAATTCCTTGAAGGATTTTTCATCATCGTCAATATTATTGCATTTCTATCGCTCAAAACGCACACAACTCCAATATATGGCAAATGCATACACACACACACACACACACACACACATTAGGAGTACAAAAGTGTACTCCTGAAAAATGAATGTGCTGGAGAAATGAGAAAAAGAGCAATAGAGAAATGTGAAAGGGCTTGAGGAAGATGAGGGTCACCAACATGGTGCCCGCAGACAAGGACCACATTCGTAACAGAGTGCCTTGGTCTTGGAAAATAAAATAAAATAGTGGTGATCGACTGGTTAGCATGTTGGGCTCACACTGCAGTGGTGCAGGGTTCGATTCCGGCTCAGACCTTCCTGTGTGGAGTGTGGCATGAGTCGGAATCAGTGCATGAAATCGATCTAGAAAAGTTTGCTTGCATCTCTGATTAAATAATTTCGTAAAAATGTGTTGACTAGTGTAATTTTTGTGAAAAAAAAATCTGATGTCTCCACGTAGACTATCATTCATTATTCGTAATAATATATAATTCAATGTTATTTGAGCAAATATGTTTTGGCAGGGGCGGCCCAGTGGTCCAGTGGTTAGCACATCGACTTCACAGTGCAGAGGTACCGGGTTCGATCCCAGCTCCGGCCTCCCTGTGTGGAGTTTGCATGTTCTCCCCGGGCCTGCGTGGGTTTTCTCCGGGTACTCCGGTTTCCTTCCACATTCCAAAAACATGCACGGCAGGCTGATTGAACACTCTAAATTGTCCCTAGGTGTGAGTGTGGGTGTGGATGGTTGTTCATCTCTGTGTGCCCTGTGATTGGCTGGCAACAGGTTCAGGGTGTCCCCCCGCCTACTGCCCGAACAGCTGGGATAGGCTCCACACCCCCGCGACCCTTGGGAGGGTGCTGGAAAATGAATGAATGAATGTTATGGCAGCAGTGCGTATCAAACTGGTAGCCCATTTCATGAATCGGATAAGTAGCCCCCAGTTTCTATACAGTTGGTGAGCCCACTCGACACAAATCATGTCGATGCCAGCAAAGCATCCGCCATATCTCAAATCCACATCTGTAACTGTGAGTTTTTTAGGGTGTGTGTTAGATTTGGTTCTTCGGCGTGTCAGTCACTTTGAACCTGAGCTGCTGTTCCAGATGGTTGGCCAAGCGCCTGGTAATTATCAAACACACATTAATTGCAAAAGAGAGAGTGTGTTTGTATGTGCTGGTGTGACTCCAGGTAATTATCTGATGCTGTGATTACTAATGACCACACAGGCAAACATCTGTCCCAAGGTAATACGCAAAGTGAGAGGTAGGACATCTGCTGTGCGTGTACAGGTGTGCATGTTTCCACTCTTTCCTCCAGTGGTGTGGCGTAGGGGTGCAAAATTCTTGGGAGCACACAATTTTAAACTTGAAGTTAGTTGTGATTGTAATTTAATCGGTCATTAATGGCGTCGCAAGTCTCCCTATCCGGTATCTTGGCTCTAAGTATGTAGCTATGGGACGGGGCTGACGAGAACAAGTGGATCAAGACAAGACACAAAAAAAAAAGGGACACGTCGAAAACAAGAAACAAAACTCGATCTAATTCAAACCAAATGAACAAAAACAGATCATGACACGTGTCCTCTCTTTGTATTACTATATTAATACAACAATAACAATAATTACTATTAGCTTAGACCAACTGCATCTTCCTTGACAATTGCACCATGTTGCTCGTGGTTCAATTTAAAAACAAAACAAAATGGTAGTACAGCTTACATACAATCTTTCTCTGTCACAACACATATTCTCACATTATCCACTCATTTTCTCTACTTATGCTAGCTAGCTGTACTAACATGTTTGGCTAAATATCCATTTTGGATGAAAATGATAATTTACAAAAACAAAAATTTCTCCAAATGTGTAGAAGCTTGGTTGTCGTCGTAAATTGCTACAGTTATAAAGCGGGACAATGATTGTAGTATAGAATATTGTGTATGATCACGCAAGTCAAAGGAATTTGTGATGAAGACTTCATGCTTCCCAGCGGGGACGTTTAAGTGTTCCTGCAGCATTAATTCATGTAGCAGGGGGGAAAAAATATACGAGAGAAATAAAGCAAAATTAAAATAAAATAACAACAATAAAACAATAATGTATGTTCTCCCGGAGCACCTCTGCAGGCCTTGAAGGCTAAAGTAGAATGACCGAGGAGAGGACCGAAATTAACGGCCTGGAGCGAAGGTGCCTTTTGAGTGCCCATAAAACTTTTATATCATTTTTTTTTTTTTTTCCTTTTCTTTTCTTATAAACTCAAACTTTTTTTCCCCCCGGGCTGACAATAAACTATATTCTCTCCTCCACTGTTATTTTAAGGTACAATTACGGGGGTAGAAAATAACCATACCGCATTCATTTTAAAGTGTATTTATGGATGAAATGACTGAATGAAAACGGGACGCTCTTGGATAGGAACAGTGTCACCATGGTGGTTAAGCATCACGCATCCAATGTGATGACATATTGTGTGCTGCCACCTCGCTTTTGCTCTGTTTTATCATGTGCTGCCCTCCTGATGGTCGGAGAAATAATTTATCAAAAGGCTCAAATGGTCTTTCAAGTCCCGTAAGTTCAGGCTCTGTGTGTGTGCGTGTGTGTACAGCAATAAAAACAGCAGGTCAAAGGTCAAATACATATGCGCGAGTGAGTCATCCCTCAGTTAAGTCACTAAAAAAAAAACAAAAAAAAAAACATCACCATCCAGTAGATGAACAAGGGTCACACTAAACAGAACACAAACTGGAAATCACTTCTCCTGAATGGCATGTTGCGATGCCTGCGCTGGTGGTTCTATTTGCAGTTTGGAAACATACAGGAGTTAAACGTGTGAAGTCAAAGATAAGAAACGGGGCCCACTGGGGAGAAAATCAAATCAAAGAAGAGCGCAGATTGAGTTTGGAAAAGAAAATGGTGAAGAGCCGTAGCGTAAACATAGCGTATTTCCTCGGGGGAACCATCCCGGCTATCAAGTGGAGGTTATTATGCTATGAAGCGCTAATGAATTCATTAGCTAAATGAAATGTCAATAAAGAGCTTGAGAGAGTGTTAAAATCAATGCAGAGCGTCTCATTCGCTCCCTCTCCTCTTTCGCTTTGTCCTGGCTCACCCATCCGTCCCAATTATCCACCTTTTCTCCCCTAAACACACACACCCACGCGCACACACACACACACACGCACACACACAAATGGTCACATTGAGTGTGATGGAGGACATAAGTGGTGATCAGCAGGAGCACTTTGCAGTGGTCAGCAGGAATGAGACAGTCATACACTACTTAAGTATTCAGCCACACTCACTGCCCACTTTAAAATGGTTTTACTTTGACGTGTGTGTGTATGTGTGTGTGTGTGTGCGCGCGCGCGGGCGTGCGTCTTTGTGATCGTGATTCAGCGCAGCATTGGAAGCCTTGAATCCATAACAACCTTTCCAGTACTCAAGAAACAACTCGATGGCTGCTTTTATTTCATTTCAACCTTCCGTAAACCCTTTATAAATCGAACCACAAAATAGAATCTACTTCTCAGCCACTCTGCTAAATACAACTCAGGGGCAGTAGACAACGCTGACTGACGAGACGTTAGTTATCCTATACAGTACATTGACCGCATTTCATTCAGTCTACACAGCCGAAGGAAAAAAATGTTGCGCTCCTGATCGTTATTTAATATTGCGCTGGGTAAAGTAGTGGATATCAGTTGACGATTTAAATAAGATTTATTTGTCTTACTGTGGTGGAAAGAATTCTTATTGTGTGTGCGTGTGCGTGTGTGTGTGTGTGTGTGTGTGTGTAATATTTGAATGGATACAGACAGTTATGTAATGCAAATGTCGACTACACAAAGCATATTTTTTTCAGGGCTATCTGACCACAACTCAAAATGATTTGTGCATAAGTGAGACATACAATGGCCCGATAGGAGTAGAAGGAGAGAATGCTTCAATCGTCAATCAAACATCCCAAAAAAGGAAAATAAAGTCCTCTTGGTATATAAGTTGAATTTTGTCGTTATATTTGTTTGCAGATGGGTCTGTATGGTGCATGAGGTGCTTGCACATCAATTCTGAGTTCTGAAGTTAAAGATGCTCCCCCCCCCACCCCGATTAGAAAAGTGACAGGTAGCTGGCAAAAGAAATGAAAAGGAACAAAAAGTCGAGAGCCTCAAATTGAGTAGAGTTTGTCCACCTCTGAACAAACCAATATCTCCAGATATCTCTGCAAGGTTCGCTCAATTCGATATTAGATCGCTCGTCAGCAAATCATGGTTGTTTGATGACATCATTTTGACCTACAATCTTGACTTCTTACTCCTCTGTGCAACATGGGAGCACACTGGTGGCTGCCTGCAGCTGTTTTAACTCCTGAAACGTTTCAGTCAGTCGTCAGCAAAATGGACGTCGGCCAGTGACGGACTGTGAGATCTGCCTTTACTTGACCCCGGTTAGTGATGATTACATTGACGGATGAAAAAAAACCCGCCTCCGTCTGTGCTTTTTAAGTCATTTTTCAGAAGTTTCCCGTCAATTCGTCACTCCTCAGCAAAATGAGCGTCCGTCAGGGACAAACTGACGGACCTTCCGTCAGTACTGATGGAATGCCCACCTTTGATTATTCCAGTGTGAAGACATTGGATTGTGTACCACCCACGAAGCCTCATGACTTCTTTGTCGCACTGCAGTGTGACAAAGATTCGCGCTGACAGCCACGAGCTTTTAAGTATCGAACCAATTGGTTCCTCCCCATCTCGCCACGCACGACGCTCTTTCCAACGTGCTCAGGTTCATTTTTATTTTATTTTTCACGCGGCTAAATTGTTGTTTCAAGATAATTGTTGAGGGCATATGTTTAAACGCTATCTCATTTACATAAACACTGTTCAGCACCCCCATACCACCACCACCACCACCACCACTTGGAGTCGCATAGGTGCAAATGCACACACACACACACACACACACACACACACACACACGCATACTGGGGCATTGGCACTCATTCTGACAGCAGGCACAGATTCATCTTTTTTTTTTGCAACGGCAGTTAAATATACATCAAAGCGGATGTTCAGCTTAGTATGCATGCACAAGGATATAAAATATTCTACTGGGGGGGGGTCTCCAATAGGCCCATGTTCATGAATTCATTCAGAGATGGGCCTCGGTCCTCTCGTGTTTTTTTTGTCTTACTGCCTGCCCTCAATAAAAAGCATTAAAAGCGGCAATGAGATTTGGAAAACCGTCTCATCGGTAACTGTTACGCACACATGTAATGAGGAGGACAGCAGTTAAGGCACATCCAAGAGACCCGTCACAGCGGCTAATTGGCGATGAGGAGCAATGTCGAACGTAGACATACCGAGGCATCCCGCAGGGACATTCGCAGAGACGGCGCACAGAAGGTAGCAGTCACAGTGGGGGCAGTTGTTGCCGCTCACTTTTCTGACTCCATCCTTGATGAGCTGACAGGCACTTTCTGATAAATCCCCGCTGTGGAATGCTCCACTAATGCAGGGTTTTTGTTTCTGAAAGACTTTTTTTTTGCGGGGGGGGGACAGATTTCAAAATGAAGTCTTCTGGGGGCATTCATTTCTATGACAACAGCTTTTGTTGGAACTTCAAAAGAAAAACATGCAAAAACAGGTCTCAGGTAGATTTTTTTTTTTTTCCCATTTGCTTTGTTCGAGCTTTACAGCGAAAGCAATAACGACAGAACACAGAGCTGTGGGAGCCTTGGTGATGATAACAGTTCTCTGGCAAAATGTATTGAGTGTATCATTACCAGTGGCGAGCCGCGCGTTTGGCACCTGGGCCTTAATTTCGTGGGGGATTTAACAGACTTAATCCACCTCTTTACGCATACCGCCACTATCATGTCATAATGAAAGAAACCCCTGATATTCCACTAAAATGCAATATAACAGCCCGTTATTCTGCCGCAGACATCATCAGAATCAATTCAGCATCAATATTCATTTAAGAAATGGCAAAACACAATGGAAGTCAAAATGCATTACGCACATCCGAGATGCTGATTAATGAATGTATTCATGTGCACGGAACGCTACAGACGAGCTTGGCTTGCTTTCACCAGCCGATCGGAAGACGGACAAATGTTATTCTTGACATTATTGTGAGACGAATGTGGAAATCTGACTGGTTCAAGAAACAGCCGCGTTGCTCATATTGTTGAAGCTAAATCACCTGCAGCGCTACTGATTCTGAAGGTGGTGGACTAATTAGATTGACATGGCAACACATCGAGCAATCTGCAATCTGATTGGTTAAAAAAAAATGTAGCGTGCACACAAGTACCTGAGAGAGGCTGCAAAAATTAACAGAATATACTAGTTGTGAATAAGTGAATTATAATTTCTTGGAATTTATATTAGAATTTCGGTGGACTAATTAGATTGACATGGCAACACATCGCGCAATCTGCAATCTGATTGGTTAAAAAAAAAAATGTAGCGTGCACACAAGTACCTGAGAAAGGCTGCAAAAATGAACAGAATAGACTTGTTGTGAATTATAATTTCTTGGAATTTATATTAGAATTTAGATCATAAATGTCATTCAATGCTTTTGATCGCGTTGAGGCCAGCGCAGAAGGCCTTGCTAGCCCTGAACACTCAGCACGGATCCAGCAATTACTCTGTTTGCGAATGTTGTTGTTGTTGTTGGCCAAATAGATGGGCGGATTGTGCCGCAGGCAGGATCAACTCAAGCTCACCTGTGAGCCTAACAAAGGCAAGTATTGTAGAAAAAGGATGGATTGTCTACTTGCCCTTTGCACCTATCGAGCAGGAGTGTGTTTGAGCCAGCCTTTCATCCACATAAGTGAGGTCCGACATTCCCGATGTTGAAACCGTGAGAGATCTCAGAACGGCTGTTCTAGCCCAGTAATTTCCCCAACCGCTGTACCATTATCCAGTTTCGTGTATCATAAATTGGTTGATGAATTATTTATTTACCTCAACTAATATATTTCTGGATGGCCCAGTGGTTAGCGAGTTGACCTCACGGTGCAGAGGTCGTGGGAAATTATTTATTTACCTCAAATAATATATTTCTGGGCGGCCCAGTGTTAGCGAGTTGACCTCACGGTGCAGAGGTCGTGGGTTCGATCCCGGCCTCCCTGTGTGGAGTTTGCCTGTTCTCCCGGGCCTGCGTTTGTTTTCTCCGGGTACTCCGCTTTCCTCCACATTCCAAAAACATGCATGGCAGGCTGACTGAATGCTCCAAATTGTCCCTAGGTGTGAGTGTGAGTGCGGACGGTTGTTCGTCTCTGTGTGCCCTGCGATTGGCTGGCAACCGGTTCAGGGTGTCCCCCGCCTACTGCCCGAAGACGGCTGGTATAAGCTCCAGCACCCCCCGCGGCCCTTGTAAGGATAATGCGGTTCATAAAATGGATGGGTGGATATATCTCTGTCCATCTATCAGTGTCAGCGATGAGTTGTGACAGGCAGACTAATTAATTCACTGCTCTCCCACTAGATGCAGAGCACTGGTTGACGGCAAATATTAAATCACTGATAGCTTCATGTGTCGCTAAGTGTATTTTTGACACCGATTGGAAAGTCCATCAGATTTTTGAAATATTTTCATTTATGTAAAAAAATCTTTTGACCGGTGTCATGAACCTGTTGCCATTTATGCAGAAGAAGAAGGCATGGCAATAGTTTTTGCGCCATTTTTGTTTGGTGGCGTACCGTGTCTTGGTCTCAGCTCAGAATGTGGATTTAATGCCAACTCAGGGGTCTAGTCCCATCCTCTGTTTGATTAATTAATTGATTACGATGTTAAGATGTACAAAGTATTTCATCATCCTTTTTGTCTGTGTAAAGGAGGGTTCTCGCTCACCTTGTGGAAAGCAAAATCTCACCAAGGTGCAATATTACAGCAAAACACACAAAAGATCCCATTCGAACGGCTTGACCACAACACTGTTTATCCTTCTGACAGGCACATAAATTGGGCCGTGTCCACACGGATGCGGATAAATATGGAAGTGTGTATATTTGTCTGACCTTCCTGAAACCCGCTCAGTCAGCTGTTATCTAACTTTCAAAGCTTTGCACATGTAGATTCATCTTTATCAACGCGGACACGGCCTTATCTCCCCCAAGCCGCATCTCGGACAGAATTCAAATGCGGCGAAGGCCTCTTCCGCCTCACAACTTAATAACACTAAAGTGATACCTCGGTCTAAATAGGTGCTTGATGCCTCATTACTCCTTGATAATCATCCATCCTGTTTGTGCTTCCTGTTAAATTAAGTAAAGCATCCTCATGCCAGGAAATTATGAACAGCGCGTTGTTCAATTACAAATCAGAGGTGGCACAATCCAAGTTACGTGCATAAATATCCACTCATCCGCTCCTTTTACTTGAACATGAATCTGAAAAAGCCTCCTTGCTGCAGTATCATTCAAGACTGAAATGACTGAACACATTTATGAGGGTGTTTCATTTGCCTGCAATCTGTCGAGAGTGAAAGTTAACATTTCGCATAAAAAGGCCTGGTGTGCAAAAAGAAAAAGTCACCTAATTGAGCTTATACTTTTGCGTTTGCCGCTAAAACTTTTACAGACAACCTTTAACTTTGAGTCGCTGTCAATAGTTTTTCTTCCGAAGAGCCGCAGGGAAACAAGCTCTTTGTGATAAAGACCGCGTTTTATGCATTCAATCAATTTTACACGAGAGGACAACAAAAATGGTTTTCGTAATCCAGCACAATTTCACTTTATGGCTTCAACCTATTATAATGAGAAATTAAAAGAAAGTGCCACACTTCAGCACATCATTTATTGATCACAATTATTATTATTACATATTTTTTAAACATCTTGGGCCAATTATTTTAATGCTATTTCCTAAAAAGTATGTTTTCTTTTAGTTTTTTCACCTACGATTTATATATTGTGCCATTGCATTGTTATCCCTCTTATGGATTTGTGCTCGATTAAGCAACACATTAAAAAAAAAAAACATCCCCTCCTGCACACATGCTTATCTGAACTTTCATGAAAATGCATGAGGAGAAAAGTAAGGCAGATGTCCCAGTATTGCCATAAGAGCAAGGCACTTACTTAGCATGGACCGCATGCCATATGGTGTGTTGTGACATCCATTTTCTTTAGCACTTCCTGATCGAGATCACAGGTGAGCTGGACGATTTATCCCTGCGAACGCTGGGTGAGAGGCGGATGAAATCCCTCCACTGGTCAGCAGCCAATCACAGGGCACATGCA